GTTCGCCCTCTATTGACACAGTCTTGAAACTTTCCGATCGCACCTCGTATTGAGGGTTGTTGTTCAGTACATTCAATTGGATTACTAAACACAGAATATCGCTGTGATTACACTAAAACCCAAGCAGCTCACGTCATGTAACCTGCTCGCTCCAGTCAGTCGAAGTGCAAAGATGTATTTTTCACAAGTCGAAAACTACCTTCTTACTTGTCAGAATGATTTTGGGTGTACATTTTCCGGTTCTCCTGTCCCCAAAGAAATCGACATTTTCCGTGACAAACGAACTCTTCACCGAGTCGCATCAAACACGAGGAAGGCGGTTCCTTTCTCATTTAAATGTAATTTATTTTTTTTGAGAAAACAGAACGTGGGTCGCTAAGAAACTCACCTCTCGATCCAGTGCCTTTTCTCTTCAGTAATGTACTTGAGGCCATGGAAAGACGTGGACTTGCAGAATTCGGCGACGTTCTTGACAACAGACAGCGAACACTTTTTCCTTGGCCGTCCTTGTGTCGAGTCCAGGGCAGGCTTCATCCAGCGCAACAACGTCACCTGAGGAATCTGACTCTAAGACACACGACGTTGTTTAAGAACTATCTTCAAAATTCAGTATACAATAAGATATGAAAAGACGATTGTGAATTACAGAAAGGAGATTTGTAATGTAAGATTTGAGGTTTTCACGGTGGATTTGATTGAAAAGACTGAGTAAAACTACGAATGTTGACATTCGGGTAGGGGCTAGAATGTATCTGATGTGACCTTAACATGGTATTACATAACCAACAGTAGCTACGACTCGGGAAACAATTAAGAATCTAATTTACTGTGTAATTAACGGAATGAGAGCGATAATGAATCAATGTCCAGGTTAAACTAGTCGCTGTTCGCCAAATCGATGGCTTATCGAACCGAAAGCTTGGTATTTGATGACAGAAACACATAAAGACCTTATATTTCCATCAGGCTTATAAATTAGTATTTATTAACTTCGTTAAAAA